TGCTGCACACAGCAGTTTGTGACACATGCTTTGGATCTTGCATACGTCGGGTCGTTCGGGTGGCTCCGCCCAGTTCAGGCAGATACGAGGAAAACTGAAATTTTTTTACGTTTATGCTCTTGTTGGAATACTAAGCTCTTGAAGCGTTCTCCAAAAGACGTTAAATACCTTGTGCTCAAATGCCGGAACCATGCATTGTGTCTAGCTTTTATAGATAATTATTTTGTTCTCAAGAGTCGTTACTTGTGGCTCCTTTGGGCGAAAACTGCGCTGCGGTTCAATGAGACGAGGGTTGCTGAGAGTCGTTGTAGATTTGTTTGTAATTTCGAAGTGCTTTTTGAGCAAAGATCTAGCTTCGAACACGAACAAAGCCTTCAGTGACAAACTGGATGAAGCTCGGGAGTGCGTCGTTTATTTGGTGAACAAACCCTTTATTCCGTAATGGGAGCAACCAAAGCTAAGAAAGCCGTGAATGAGCCGGTACAATTTTTTTTTCAATCAGCGTTTGACAGTTTTTAGGTATCGATGTAATTGCAACATGGCTGAAATTATGGTATCCAAACATCGTAAATTAATCACGTTCGAGCACCGCGTACAAACCACCGGTTGCACCACTGGTGGGCTCCCTCGACCTTGCTGTTCACAGGAGGAGAAATGAGAGGAAAGTGTCTCGGGGCTTTTTCCTCCCATTTCTGACCATTTTAAGCATGCAATCGTAGATTTATCTCGCCTTTCTTAGTATTTTCTGCCACAGCCACAGACGTGGCGAAATATGTTTGTTTGACGTAAATCTGTATGCGTGACTTTATACGTGGAACCGAAATATGCTGACGCCTTCAGGCTAAACTGTGCTTCTAATCTAGAAAGAAATGCACAATGAGATTAGCTACTCATGCAGTGTGCTGGTACGGAGATTGCAGCTATGGATATTGTTTCACAGGAAAATATGTTTTGTTTTGCTGCAGTTTGTGTCATCAGACACTGCAGCACTTCATACCTACGACAGACGGTGGTGCCTGCCGTGTGCTGAGACCTTCCAAGGTGACCTGGGCAGTTACCGTACTTGTGAGCATGGATGCTTCCATAACCTTGCCAAGGTAACCTCTAGACTTGGGCAAGTATCGCCTCATATGCGATGCCAAAACTTCCCTTTTGCGAGGAAGATCATAACCAAGCTGCACCAGAGCCTGCCTGGCCACCCCTAGCGTGACATATAGCAGGATCACTATAAGCGGCATTCCGTTTTTCCAGAATTAATCCTTTTTCGATCATACTGTAGAAAACCCAAAACTGATAAAAGCAGGGAAACAATGTCGGAGAAGAAAGACAGGGGCAAAGAACGTAATCCTTTGCGGCGTTTGGAGGGTGTTTTCTGGAGTTTACCTTTGTGGAAAATTTGATGTTTCTCAGAGCTTGTTTTGATTAAATTTTCCGTTTTTCAGAATAATTTAGATGTTAAATTTGCTTGCTGAGTTTCCCGATTCTCAGAAAGTCAAAAGAAGCAGAAATAATAACCAGACACAAGCGTATTAATTAATTTATAGTCTCAATGATTGCGGAAGGAGTTGCCTGTGCCTAGACGAGGTTTCTTGAGCTGAATATGGCGGTGTGACTCTAGATCCTCTACAACTCCCAGTGCACCCCAGTTAATACCAACTCTCCCACGACAAAACTTGCAAACCAGGGTTACTTATCCTACCTAGTTTGGCGCAGTATGGCCGTCGGAGCTCTTGCGCCATAAAACCCGTAAACAACAACAACAACAGGGTTACTTATCCAGGTGTCGGTACATTAAGCTATCAGTCTCCTCGATTTGATCACTGAAAAACTTTGTTTTATCCACCTTTTTAAAGGCTCCCTGGCATACTTGCTACTCACAGCCGTAGGTGCCACGGGAACATGCTGCGCTGCATGGCTGTGCGGGGTGAAGTGTGAAATCTAGAAAGTTCCGCCGCCTTCGCTCGTCCCACAAAATCTGCGGGCTAATGGCTTCCTTCATGTTAGAAACTGTACCCCTCTTCACGTTACGAAGCCCAAATGGTTCGTTCGAAACTCTTGTTTGTTTGGAGCATGGCTAGCACAACCACATCAGAGAACAGAATGGAACATATTTCTTTCATGCTGCTGAGCTATTGTTGGGGTTCCGCAGGCTTTATTTGTTGCCATCGAAATTCTTCTAATCAGTTGGAAACAAGTCCTACTGCCAAAACCCAACCCCTCCCCACCCCGACGTCACAAATACTGATGTCACATAGACTAGGGGAACATAACTACAACATAAACAGAATCACTTCTGGACACTAAGGCATACATTGCCAAGATTGCAGATGTCAAGCAGAACTAAAAACATTGCCCCTTAATAAATAAAAATAATAATCAACTAATTAGGGAAGTTATTGAAGCCGAAAAGATTTCGAGGTTAGAAAAAAACTGTGTCACTAAACCTTGTCCAAATTTATTACAAAAAAGAATTAGATTATCTTGCATCCAGATGAAACCAAAAATAACAACAAAAAAATCTTATTGTTTAAAAAGACAGGCGCAGGCAGAGTAGAAATAATACAAGTCTGAGTTGCAAGTCAGAGCTTCATGAATGTCTTTTCTTTTTGTGTGTGCCTGTGCTTGGTTGCGAATTTTTCGCGCTGTGGAGGAGTATGCAACACCAGCTTGCCCGAGCCTCCATACTTTTAATACTGCCAGTAGAAACTTTCACTTTGAAAATATGATGAGGACCGAATTTGAAAATTAAATGTCGCCGAACAATTTTTTGCGGATGTAAGGTTTTGGTTACGAGGTCAGTCATAGCTACTTATGTGTTTAGCCAATTTTCAGGCAAATTTGTGACCTTGAAAAAAATTACAGGTATACTGTTACATTCTCCTTAGCCTCCTGAAGATGTAAATCACTGGATTGAACCCCTACCATATTGTTTTGTCTCATAACTGATGCAGGTATCTTCTTTTTTTCTTCAACTCAGTTCGACGTAGGAGCTGCCACGGCGTCCTGTGCCTTTCACGTGAACAGTGGCCAGCACTGGAAGAAGCAATCTTTGGACTGCTATAATCCATTCTTCGGGCAAGTGAATAAATTTCTTTGAAGCAGAGACCTGGTGTTTGCACAGCAGCTCCACAGAACAAACAACACAAACACAAATGTTTCTGTGCCCAAAGCCTTCGTAACTGCTTGTTCTTATTGATCTGAGCTTGCACGTTGCAATGTTAAGGCAAGATGTAGATATAGTTAACGTCTCTCTAAAAAAATTGGGGGCACCTTACGCTTGGATGCCTAGCTTGATCAACTTGGAATGTCCAGCCGAATTGAAACAAGGATCTAGCCGAACTGAAGCATGCAGCTGAATCGAAACTAGTAGCCGAACTGAAGATTTAGCCAAACTGAAGCGTCCAGCCGAATTGAAACTTCTAGCCGAATTGAGAACGTAGCCGAACTGGAACGTCCAGCCGAATTGAAACTTCTAGCTGAATTGAGGCAATAGCCGAATTGAGGCTTCAGCCGGATTGGGACGTAACCTTTAAGTATAAAGGAATGAATACCGTCAACGTCAGCCGATTTGTCTGGCGGTAACGCCCCAATCGCCAAAATCACATGAATGCGGCTTTCCTTTTTATCTTGTGAATATCAGTTGCGAGTCACCGCTTGTGTGTTCTATACCTCTCTCCTGTAGTGACGTCCTTTGTGCGTGGTTTTTCATTATGTCGTCTCAATACCAAGTAGTCCAACTCACCACATTGCTCCATTACACGACCTTGTCTTATACTACGTAATTACACCTTACCTTTCTGGTAAGTGAGTTGGATCACGTGAAAACGTGTGAAGTAACATGAAGAGAGTAAAACCGCGTTAAACTAACTATCATAAATGACTTGAAGACAATAATATATGTTTCAGCCCATGTTACTTGTAATTGTGAGAGATTGTGTGCCTGTTCAAAACTAAACACTTATTTTGTTCGCATCCCCATTTTTTTTTATAATGTGCTTTTACAAAGTCCCAGGTAGCGCAGTTAATTGGGCCCAAATTTTGTTCATCTTTGAGAATTTAATGCCTTCGAAATCCCGGAGAAGCCCAGGTAGAGACAAACTTGACCTTCTTTGGCCTGTGTCTGGGTATCTCAGGGCCTTAGACCACCAAACAACTGTCAAAGTTTGGCTTCATTGCGTGGTAGTGAAGCTGTCATCTGGCTCCTTTATGCCTAAATCGCTAAACAAGTGCCCGAGTCACGCTTCATTACTAATTGTTCGGTTTTAATATGGAAACCTTGGGCCAAAATCACAAAACAATTGCCAGAATTAGGTTTTGCTGCGCGTTATTCATTTGATGCATGGTATTTTCGCTGAAGTCTTGCATTTCAGCAATTTTTCTGGCGAACTATAAAGAAAGTAATAGAAAAGTCGAAGAAAATGCCTTGGCACAAGCGCGTTGGAGGAGAACCGTACGCGGAGCGTAAGTTCGTCTGCTAATTCTGCAGGGGTTGTTATGACGCCAGTAGGCCGAGCTCTGAAAGGTTCTGAAGGCAGGAGATTGGGTAGACGTCAAGGCAGCTTGCATTGAGTCCTACCTACTATCCTTCACTCAGAGCCAATCGGAGTTCGGCGTCTTTTTGAAGTCACCGTAACTCCTGCTCAGGAAGCAGACGACATGCTCTCCGCATTAGGTTCAAAGGAGGGCCCTAGAATTGCTAAATGTGGGCCATGTTAGGTGTTATTCTGGAGTGATTTTCCTGGTATTTCTGCATTGGGTGTTGAAAGTACACACACTACAAATGCATGAAACATATATCGGCTAAACTTTATTTGCCATAAAATTTACGTTTTAATAAATGTTTGCGTAATACTAGAACAACAAGCCCTAATTCATGCAAACAATTTTTGACATAAAACTTGTGAGAACTATAGATTAAACATTTTATTTTTAGAGTTTATCACTCAGGGCCTGGAGCGATTCTTGAGGGGTGCCTTTAGATTTCTTGTGTACACGAGGGATTACTCTGTACTTTCAGTATAACAACTTGTATTACTGTAGACAACCGCAGGATAGCCACAAAAGGCCAGGAACATGAACCAGCACTCATCCAGGCCAGGATAGGGATCCGTGTTATTCTTAAGAAACAACTCACAAACTGAAAATATAAAAGAAAAACGCTGGTTAAAAACAAGACTGTGGCTGTGATCTCTTTGTAGTCCTCCGTCTCTGCCCTCGTTTTTTTTTTTTTTTTCTTCTCCATTCAAGCCACCGGTACTAACCGATGGAATTGACTGAATGAAGCGATCTGTGAATGTCAGACACTTGAAAATGAAGTCCCGAAATGTATTTCAGGGCATAAAGAATATATTCACTCTTAGAAATAGGGGGTGTACAAGGCTACTCCCACTGTCTCATATGTAACTTCCCAAAACTCCGTTTGGACGTTCAGTCCACTGACGTCGAGCTAGCGATACCAACTTTTGCGAGCGGCTTGATAGCTGTTGGATATAACGCATTATATAGCTAATGTGCGTTTGAAAGACTAGAAAAAAAATCAAACATTGAGGTTTTGCAGCAGGGCCAAAAAAAAAAAAAAACCTTGATTGTCTTACTGTAGCCTTTAAAGGGATGCTGAACCGAAATCTGGATTCCCCAAAACACGCGGCAAAAGCGTGCAACGGGATGCTACAAACACCAAAACATCACTCGTACAGCGATATCTCGAACGGATGACCGTACTTTAAAAAAAAAAAAAGAGGTAATTTGGCAGGAATGTTGACGTCATGTTTCTCCGAGAAGGAGAGGGAACGGCCTCGCGTCTTCTCCGCCTCGCGGCCTTGAGGGAGCGAAGCGAAGAGAGGAGGAAACGAGGTATCTTCATGTCACGCGCCTCGTCGGCCTGATTCAATCTCGACTTCTTTTTCCAAAAATACGGCCGTCCATTTGAGATATCGCCTTACTAGTAGTGCTCTAGGGATTTTAGCGTCCCGCCTACATCTCCAGCATTTTTTTTTTTTTTGAAATCCAAATGACGGTTCACTATCCCTTTAATGTGTACAGTAGCTGTATTAATATGTTGTATCGTTCGGCTATCAAGCCGCTCTTGAAGTTGGTATCGTCGAATCGACCTGTGGACTAAACGTCGAATTGTTGTTCTGGGGATCTACATATGGGACAAGGGGTGTATCCCTATACGCCCCCTATTTTTTAGAGCGTTCGCCCGGTGTTATGCCGGCTACTCCTATTACAGCCTATTTATTTTCTACTCAGTGATGTAAATAATTCAGGGGAGGACAATCTGTACATTAATTCTATGCAGGGACACAAACCGTAATCGCACACCGAATCTAAAACACTTTATGAACGAGCGTATTTGGGTAGTCGTAACAGGAATGCAAACAATATTTTCAGTTTGCACAAACCATATCCGTAATAATGAACCGGTTACCACTATATTAAATTGATTCAGCAAATGTTTAAACTAAATATTTGAAACTTTCGACGCGGGTCCTCAACTACCATGAATCCTTGTGGGGCGCACGGCGTCAGCGATTGGTACTTCCCGTCACAAATTCAAGCAGAAGGTTAACCTTAACTGCCAGATTGATCGGAAATTCAGCTTCGGTAGAAGTGTTGTGCCCGTTACCGAAGACAAGTAACGACGTAGCGTTACTTGTTAGCTCGTCAGAAAGGACCGAGTAACTGATATTCATTACCGTCCTCCAAGTGGAACGAAATACCACTACCGTTACTTTCAAAAACTCAAAAACATTATTGTTGAGTTACTTTAGATTTTAGCATCACTTGGCAGCGGTAACCCGCGTATACGAACCTCAACTACAGTTGAACGTTCATTGTGTGATTCTATAGTCTTTGATATGTTTTTGGACCCAGTTTGCAGAATACCTTTTTTTTAAAGATCTTGCTCAATCAACTTTGCTTTGAGAGTAATGAATTTGGAATTAATGTCACGCAGATGAAAATACTGTTTAGTTTTAATCGATGCTAATCGAATCAAACTAACTGTGATTTAGTTTGATTTTAAAATAAAACGAAATATATTTATCGAATGTATCAACTACGTCATAACGGAATTTCACAGACGACGTCGCAAATTAGCACCTACAATACTTGACCCTTTAGTCACTTATAAATTTAAAGTGTTCTGTAAATCTAGTGCCTTCCTGAAAAAAAGTAATGCATTATCACTAGACAGAGGGAGGGCGCCACGAGAGCGCCACGATACGAATGCGCGTGTCAGTAGAGCGCGACGCGAGGGCGCTGAACAACAACACTACGGTGCCTTTCTCCGTGGCAGAACGTTCAAGTAATAGAATCGCCTTCTATACACCATTCCATGTTTCACACGTCCTCAGCCCAGCGTGCGGTCTCCTGAGCCCAACATGCCCATGTTCGTCGCTTCGTAAAGCGAGAAACTCACGCGCCATACGCACGATCATTAAAATTAGAACAGGGCAGAAGTCCTTTTCGGAAAGGTCTACAGTAACTGAGTTGTTATGCATTGGATTATGCAATGGAGCTGTGAGGTGACAGCCGGCGTTGCAGAAGATATGAGTGCAGCTTTGATCTCATCATTATCCATAGTAACGAATGGATTGATTTCTAGCGTGTTCCGAAATTCGACGCTGTCCCGAAGTTTGCCACAATGAAACATGATAATGATGTACCACCTGCACGCACGGTAGGCTTGTGTAGCCTTACTATCACTAAAGACTAAATTGTTTAATCTCCCCCCCCCCCCCAAAAAAAAAAGTTCATCGCCAAACCGTTTTTTTTTTTTTTTTTTTTTTTTCACCCATATAGACATACTGGACCGAACTTCTTTTTCTGGGGAAAACGAATGACAAGTAGAATTGTCTCAAGAGCGGAAGTAGTGATCAACTGAAAGAAATAGCACTCTATAACCGGCAGCGATGGCAACTGCGCCGTGATATATCGAGTTAGGATAGATAATCAGAATCAAATAAATTATCATAAATGGTGTGACTGCAGACGGCTGCGTTCACCACGAGTGTGCTATACTTCGCCCAGCTTAATTCGAGTACTCAGCCATTTAAATGACATCAAGCGTTTGAAATGCGAGTCCAGTTCATGTTTAAAATTCAACTTCGTGAAAACATGCGTTTGAAGACTCCAATATCGATCATTTCTAAGGCAAGCACATGTGCTCTCCCGCACGCACGCTCTAACGGCACGCGCTCTCGTGACGTGATGCTCTCCTGTCGGCGCCCTCGTGTAATGCAGAGCCGTAGACAGTGACGTCGTTACTGGCAACAGGTTTATTTCAACACAGTGCATCGGTGGACAGACAATAGACCGATCTCCCCAGTTAGTTCCGTTGCGCTGCCACTGCCGCTATGCATCATAGGAATCGTTGACTTTCTGCACGCGCGAGACAGCCTCGCTGGAGCTCCGCGCGAACCGAGCCCGAAACGGCACGAGAAATCTGGTGCACTGGAGCCTGTGCCCTGTAAACTAGTCATGACGTCGTCTGGGATGCCTGGAACGCTTAGTGAAACCGGTATATCGACAAAATTTGTCCTATTGTGTAAAATGGGCTATGTCTTTTCTTTTTAAGTATAAATTTACAAATTATAATCCTGCAATGTTAGGACAATGTGCCGAGAAATTGAGGGAGAGGAGGAAATGAGACCGCTTAGGTGCGTCAGAATGCCCAGCTCTGATTGGAGCGATTAGTGGGTAGACTCAAAGCTACCTGCCTTTGTCTCCACGCACTCGTCGGGCGCTTTAGAACGCGGAACGCCGGCGTCCGGCTTTCGCATTAGAACGCTTTTGGGCGGGTGCAGTGGAGGCGAACGCGGCTAGCCAATGCCCGCTTTGCTTAGGGTGCTGACATCTGCTCATTTTGTTCCAAACGCTTATTTTTATTTTTAACGTTCTTTGGCTAGTTGTTCCGCATTTCGCATTAAGTCAAGCTAGATTAAGTGAGGCCCGATTAAGCTTTCCAGCTACATTTAGCGGGAGAATTGAGGCCACGTGACTTAAATTAATATTCCGTTTCTCAGCTACATTTAGCGGAAAAAGTGACGTCACGTGACATGTCAGGGTACCTAAACATTAATTCAGTTTTCCCTCTAGATTTCACGGGAAAATTGACATCACGTGACCTCAACCCCAGTTCAGTTTCTTCGCTAACTTTAGCGGGAAAAATTACGTCACATGGCTTCGTGTCACCGAGCTTATACACCAGTTCAGTTTCCACGCTAGATATAGCGGGAAAATTGGCATTACGTGAGCTGCACAAATTAAGTTTCCCTGCTAAGTTTAGCGGGGAAATCGAAGTCACTTGGCCTCATTTAACGGTGCATCTACACGAGATCAGTTTCCCCGCTAGATTTAGCGGGAAAATTGACATCACGTGACCTCAACGCTGATTTAATTTATCCGCTAAATTTAGTGGGGCCAATGATGTCCCATACTTCATGTCACATAGCTATTGTTGCTCCGAATTCCGTGAAGCCGTATTAAGTTTTCTGCTAGATTTCGCGGGAAAATTGACGTCATGTGACCTTAAAGGGACACTGACGGGGTGTTCATGCTCCCCAAGGTTTTTATTGGTACATGACACATCAGAGCCAAACTAGCGAGAACACAATTCGAGGCTCGAAATTCGTTTTTTTTTTCCTCCCGAAAACCATCGATCGAGAACTGGCCGGTTTGAGTCGCGCTCACTCTCTTCTCCTGGTTCACGTGCCGTTTTCTATGGTTTAGAATTATACAAAACCACAAAATATAATCACAGTCGTGGACCATCCAAGGCAAACACTCGATATTTAAAAAAAAAAATATATATATATATATATATATGATGCTCATCTTTTGCGACACCCGAAAAGCTGCAAAAACGTTGATAGAAAAAAAAAGTTGCACAGCCACGTGACTTCCGGCAACGCTCTGCTTTAAGATTCATATTTGAATTGAATTGAATCGGTTTTGTTTAGACACTAGGTCAAGGGTAAGAGGACAAAAGGCAGATTATCTCTGCCTGACGTGGTCCTATTACCCGTTTACAATGCTCAGCATTCGTCTTCCGCCCCAGTCCCTCGGTTTCGGCTCCCAGCACTTGCGGTTTCTTTACTTTATTAAAAATATATCAATTTCCCCTTTAAATTTAGCGCGGTTGTCACGTGGCCTAGATGTCACGCGACTTGTACACCAATTCAGTTCACCGCCAAATTTAGTGGGAATTTCCCATTACGGGACACGGATTGCATATCGCTGCAGCCAACAGGTGCGGCGATCGCCAAACGCTTGTGATGCTAGAACGTTTCACGTATCCAACTAAACAGACCCTTTTCAAAAGCCCATCAAGCAACATTGGCGGTCGCCATTGCTTGGACACGAAGCGTGTGATTGGATCCGAGTCCTCGCCGAATGCTGGCGTCAGCGCTCGTGTCCAATACATGCTCAGAGTAGGTGAGCAAGCGATGGCTGACAGGTGATGGCGCCGAGCAATTAGCCATATATATTTTTTTTTTGAAGCGCGCTTTTTCTGCTGACTGTGCTACGTCGACATTCTGTTTTTTGCGATTTCTTTGTATTTTTCCTGCGAGTGATTGTTGTCGGCATCCTGTACTACAAAGGGTGGCATCACCCAAAAAGAAGCAGATTAAGTGACCCTTGGTCTAGCCACTAATCATTCCAACCAGAGTTCAGCATTGTGACATCACGCGCACTCTTGCGTTAGAAGAAGAATGAAGAGTCGTGGAAAACTTTTTTGTTTTTGTAGGTCTCAGGGGGTGAAAGGGGTTAAAAATATCGTAACCTCTAAATATATTGTATACTTTTTTTTTGTATGTGTGTTTTCAGGAACGTGGCGTGCGTACTCGTCTGTTTACTCGACGTTCTTCGTGAATGCAACCGATAAAAGGGTATAACACTGGGTCTATTGGTAGTGGGATTAAAATAATTTGAAAGAGCTTGCGCATTAAGATGCAACGAAAAACAAGGGACGAACAGCTCTTGGTTTCTTTGTTTTTTTTTTGTTTTTTTTTACGTATGCGTGGTATTTTGGCGCTACTCTCATTTTCGGTTAAACTGCTGAGAGGATGAAGTGCCCTACAGCTGACCGGAAGTGACGTACGGCATCTGTCGTGGCGGGCACCGGTGGCAAGCCACACTCGACTTCGTTCTCACATAACCTAAGAAGCCTCACAGGCTACAGGTCCAGTGCACAAGAGCACCGGAGCGAAGCACATGATAACAAACAGAAGAAGGGAACTACTGTGGGCAGCTCTTTCTTGCCTTGTTTCAATGCTCATACTGGCTGACATAAGCTCATACTTCAAAGCATCAGGCGCTTGCCAAAGGGCGTACGATCCATGAGTTCTCTGCTTCTCGCTTTTGATCAGAAACCTCTTGTCGGGGTAATACATCTAGGCAGGGATGGGCAGCATTTCAAATACAAGTATTTGAAATACGTATTTCAAATACTTTGCATATTTTGCATTTGTATTTAATTACAAATTGGGTGATGTATTTGACGTGTGTCTTTGAATACTAAAACGTGGGTATTTAAAATACAATTGTAATTAAATACAATTTTGTAGGCGAAATACATCCCTCAAATTTATTGTCACCGTTCAGAGCAGGAGAAAAACTACATTCTGCACCGAATGCAGTGTCTCTCAATCAAGCACAAGCGCTAAGTGACTTTGTGATTACGGTGCTAGTACAGGGCAAGAATAGTGACGAAATCGACGTTCACAGGCAGACTGTCTAAATAAGTGCCTGTGACAACTTGTGATGCTTTCCAGCCTGATTTCCACCCATAGTTTTGCCTGTAACATTCCAAATGCGCGGGTCGTCCAGATGTTCGTAACTGGTGCGAGTTGCAACAATAAAATATTCTCTAGCTAGTGCTGCGCGTCTTGGTCGTCTCGGTTCTTTGTTGGTCAATACCAAAATGTAATCGACAAAAAAGCTGCTTGAATCTCTGTACTTTTTTCACCTATTGAGTCCAAGCTGATGACATTTTTTTGTGTTCATATTTCTATTACCTTACTAGAGCCTCGCACACTAACTCCCGAGTGTGCGATGCAAAATTAAAATGAGATACCCAGAAACTCGTTGCAGGTGCCCTGAAGTCGCTGACGCAAATTTTGAGGAATGTATTTGGAAAAGAACAAATACATTTGGTTGTATTTGTATCTTGTACTTAAATGCTTTTTTGGAAATGTAATTAGATTTGTAATTAAATACATTTTGACGAAGTATTTTAATTTTGTATTTCGATACATATTTGCATGTATTTTGCCCATCCCTGCATTTAGGCTTCAATCATAAGCAATTAAACGTACGGATTCACTTTATGGCCAACTAGTCGCCCTTCGCACCTGTCCGACGTCAGACTTGCTGAGAGCAAACAAAACAAGACAACGCCTAACCGGAATAAACGGAGTGACCTTGTGCCAGCGGGGTTATTTTGGCATTCTTAGTGCAAGTGCCGAGTAATTTTGGTGGTGAGGAATGATGTCGGCATGTTGTTGGTGTCAATGATTCCTCGTATCTTTTGTAGTTTTTGGTATTTTATACAACTAAAAGGTTAAGTGATGGTACTCCTAGGCTAACAAGGGTAAAGAAGGAAGAAATACATTTTTAGAAACAATTGCGAAAGGTGCTGCGGCGGGCCGCCGCAGCACCAAAAGGTAGAGATGATTTTTATTTCTATGGAAGTCACCGTTTTTGTGGTTTTGTGTTGTGTTGATTGTTCTTTGATTTAAAAAAAAATTAAATGTGAATCAATATGAAGTAAAATGGCTTTTAGTTAAAAGCATAAGACACTCGTAGCCAGTCAGGAGAAGCACCCATATTTCTGTATCCTTTACACTTTGAACTGAAAAGACACATGGCTTTAAGTTAAATAGTAATATTACTGTTGATACTCAGCAATAGTATACATTTATCTTTTATAAATTTTGTTTTGTAGAACCGAGTAAAGGAGATATAAAAATGAAAAAAAAAAAACGGAAATATATACCTATTTCAAATATACAATGGCAACCAAAACCGAACCGGTAACACTTTAGGATTTGGTCCCTGGTTCTAAGATGAATACGCTACGCTTCGATTGGGACATGTTGTCATACCAAAACCTGCAGCTTGTAGCACTGCTCTGCGCTGCTCTATGCTTCAACAAAATCGTTTTGTATAAATAATTAGTCGAGTATTATATAATACAAGAATAACATTGAACCAGAAATGGGACAGTACACACAGGCAGGGGAAAAGAACTGTTCACACTGTCTGCCGTCTCGTTATGTAATGCGACAATATTAGGCAAGCGATACTTATTTTGACATAATAATTGTCTCCTGGTCTCCCCCACTCCTCCGTGTAATTTCCCACGCTTGGAACACTTACGAGGATCCCTAGCTCCATCATTCACTGATTTTAATAAGTAGCAGTTCCTGAAATTGGACACCAGTACACGTCGCTGGCGAACACTTCCTCTATTGTATAGGTGGTCTGTGGGAACTAAAAAAAAAGCAGATTTTTGAGACGTGTTTTTTTACATTTGACATCAGCACAAGTGATCGTTATAACCTTTATAACCCTTTTAAGCCACTGATCAATTCCGGTTTCTTGATAGCAGAAATTGTGTTGATCGCTGTGCAAAGTCGTGTTTCGTTTAATACAAAAACTATATTAACCTCAAGCGGTAAATAAATACAACCTTGTAGCACACGATACCTTGACCTATAGATATTTTTGATCAAATAAAAAGTTAATTTTCTTTGTGGGTGATTTCGGTGCATAGGAAGGAAAGCTTGTACTAAATAAAATAAACTACTTCCATAAAAAAAAAAAAAAACTTAATGAGAACATGTTTTGAATTTGTATTTCTTACGCGGTATCGTTAAGGAGCTTGTGTCGCAAGAAGGGCCGGTGTCTGTGGCGTGACAGGAAAATCCTGATTGGTCTATAGGGTCATGACGTCACAGGCACATGACCTCGCGCGGCAATTTCAAACAGCCCACGACGCTCCCGTGAAACGTGACATCACGCGTGGAATGAAAGGAATTAAAACATCAAATGGAATGCGAAATCAAGGTGGCCGCATGACTCAAATGTTTTATGTTTATGTTTGCCTTAAAATATTTGAAGAACTTTTGACGGTTATTCAACCAGCGACCCTTCGGTTGCGAGCCAGGCACGCGACTGAGTACGCCACGCAAGGCACACTTGCACGGCTTGGGAACAAGAGGGTGTTTATATGTTTCTATGCGTGCCAGAGAAGCCGAACTGGGTTGAGAGCAGCGACAGGACGATCCGGAGATGCGATAGCGTCCTTGGATCTCGGAGCACTCGCGTCTCCGAGCATGAGAAGCGAATGAGAACGCAATGCGAACGGGGCCCGATAATGCTTTCGCGTTCCACTCAAAAAGGCAAAGCTTAAGCGTCCTTCAAGTTTGTATTACAGCTTACCACTGTTTCATTGCTTTAACGTGATAAAGGTAAGTTCACCCCACTCAATAAAAATATATTCTGAAATTTTGAGTTACAATTATTTGGTAATTTATTGATAGGCATGAGTAGTCAGTTTGGCATCTTTATCAGGACTAAGAATGTCACACACTCAGCGTCCGGGGTACAGTCATTTATATGAACCATTCAACATACTAATTTTTCAAAAATCCACTGGGGAGTAAAAACCGCGATATCTTTAGGAAGAAAAGAAAAACTATGTTGCATGTGCTTATCCCAGGGGTTATGCCAGCTAAATACCTTTGATAAAACTTAAGGCAGAAAAAATATTCTACGAGTTTTCGTGCGCTTGATGGGTAAACTGACAATTTAAAACTGTGTTAGCTAAATAATAAACTGATATATAGTTTCATATTTAATCTGTAGCACCTGACGGTTGGTAACAGTTTGCAAAGATATATACGCTTCAAACCTCGCCCTTTCCTTATTTCATCTTAAGTGTTCATTCTACCCTAACAGTCTTTATTTCACTTTTATGGGCTAATATAAATAGGCTACCCTAAAAGGCATGCAGAATTCCAGAGGCAGAAAAAGTTTACATCAAATTAACTATTGTGATATCCCACGCGACAAACCAAAAGAAGCTTTTGTTAAGGTCACAAGAAAATGCTGCTTCAAAGTTTTTCAGCTTATTGAAAGATTTTCCCCAATAAATTTAATTTGAAGAATAGTAACGACATTCCAAAGAAGAGAGTCATTGTTTAGAAAAAAAATATATTCTTCTGTAACATAATGTCCGAGAGATTTACACGAACGATCATATAAAGTTACGCCAGTTACTTAAACAATTTACTACATGATCACATTACTACACTACTGAAGAAAAAAAAAACGATTTGCGCCCGTATGACCCATATCATATTACTATAGGGTGGGCCCATATAATATACGCAGGTCAATTTCATATTTGGGTCTGGTTATTTCCCATTCATATGGCGATCAAATTAAATTATTTTTACCTTTCGTCTTTAATTTTTACCGAGGATTTTTTAAATTAACCAGGTATAACTAACGATAGTTTTTGCTTTTGTGTGTTGCAAGCATGGGTGCACGGCTGCGCCATGGAGAACTCTAGGCTACTCGTTCTTCTACTGCTGTTTGAGGGGAGGAGGGGGGAGGGTTCCGGCAAGTGGCCGTCAACATCGAGCCTCTATCGAATCATCCTAGGTGGTAGTATCCTCTTTGCTGTATCACCATAGAACAAGCCTGACTACGTCGCCTTTAGTCCGATGATCATTCACCTCAAGTCGCTCCTGGTTCAACCCACAACCGCGTCAACGGTATCCTCATTAGGACCATTGCATTCAAAACCCAGATCATCGATGCCATCGGACAGACGGCAAGGGTGCTCACTGCCATTCAGAACGCTTTCTTCGTTCTTCTACTGAAGATTAGAACGTGATACTGAATCTTGCACGTGAAAAAAGATTATTCCATTTTTTTCTCTGGACTTTGCCGTACTGAACTAATGTGCAACTGTTTAGCTTCGCTCGTTAAAGGTGCTCTCGTGTCAAGTGTCACTTTATACGTTAGAGCATAAAGTGGTAAATTTAACTTGTAGAAAGCCGGACAATTTGATAGATGGCCATTGTGAAAATTTATCTGGTGATGCCGAAGACACTGACTCAAGTAGATACATCTGCTAGATGAACTCTAGTCAAATCTTTGTTTAGAACTAGAACAAACGTACAATTCGTTATTCTAATTACGTACTTAAACAATACCTGTGGCTCTAACGCGGATGACATGCAAATTCGTCCAGTTAGATATGTCGCATATATTATTACTCTTGTGTTCACTCACATTTTTTTTTATATTTCGTTGGTAACTGGTGTATTTCCGAGATTGGATGCAAGTTTCAAATGTATCTGTTTTTTGAGGACTGGTGCTAAATATAATTTGGGTAACTATATGCTAATTTATATACAGCCCGTTTTCTGTAAAGTTATACAGAATTCTCGCATGACGTCATCCAAAGAACGCTCCGATGGCTACCAGATAAGAAAGAAGGAGCTAATCAAGCCGCACACTGCAGCTTTTTCCCCCACACCTTCATAAAACATGATAGAAATAAAGGTACTATTATTTTTGGATCAAACTACGTGCGTATAGTGCTTGCATGCCCAGAAGCCTGCCTTGCGTCGTTGATGCTGGGTGAGGATGACGCGGTAAATCCTTATGTCTTCAGTAACGAGCAAGTAGAAAAGTTTAATGAAATCCTACGTTTGTTGGAAGACCTAAACACTTGTTCGGAGTAGTTTGAATAAGATTAAGATCCTGTGCTAGCGTCTATTAACGAACTAAAGGAAAACTAGAAGTAAATTCAGCAACCTGTATTGGATATTGTTTTGCTGATAAACTTCGCCCTCTAATCGTGCAGTTCGCAGCTTTCAAGATTAATCATTGAATTCTCTTCAGCTGCTCAAAAGCTAAAGATAGCCCAAATTCAAATTCAAATTATCCCCAGTCAGGAACCTGGCAATAAAACGTGTATTCGAATGTGAAAAAAAAAAAAAGGTAGTGGTCAATCTAGAAAATAGCCATAACACGCTATTTTAAAAGGAAAGTGCTAGATGAATAATTTAGAAGCCAGCAAATTCTATCAGCTGCCTTCTGCGTTGGTTCAGTGGCATCTTGAGCGGGAACAGTGAGCGAATAACGCGGCTGCGACAGGGTTAGCTGCTTTGCATCGGTGAGGGGTGATGAACCTCGTGATTTTAGCAGTAACTTTACTAACATAAAAAGTAGAATAAGAAAACTTAATGATTTAGGTGCTGTTCTCGACTCTTCTGACGCTCATTTAATAGTCTTCGGAGAAAATTGACTTTCAGATGAAGGACATTATAATGGGCTCTTCGTTTGCAAGGGATGTTATAATATTGACAAATCAAATGGTTCTAGTTTTGTTGGCAGTAGTCACCACATTTGTTTCTATGAATGCGCCAATGCTTGTGTTCTTCAAAGTAGTTTGGATGTGTTTTTTTTTTTTTAATTGAAGTAAATAAATAGTTGGACTTTGTTGCGAACTTTGTTTCTGTATTTTCTAATGTTCCGCACGATCGCATCAATCAAAATAATGTGCAGTTTCCTGGTTCATCTCTGATTTTGAAGGGTGACTTTGTCAGACTAATAAATGGTCTGAAATCGGTTTCCTTTGTATTACCTTTACAACTGAAGACCCATTCACACACGTGCGTTCGGAGCGAGCACAATGCTTACGAACGAATGCAACCGGTTAACGACGAGTTGCCACAGCAACGAAGCGCCTAACAGCCGTTTCGTTCATGTTCGTTCGCAATGCAAGGAGTTGAGCCGGGCTGAACGTTTTCGCCACATTCGGGAACGACCGGAGCGACTGCACCGACAGACCAATCACAAGTCGAGGAGGGCTCAGCCGCGCGCGTTGCATGCCGGTCGCGGTTCCAGCTAACATGGCGTCGGTGGTGATCATCAACGTGGCGGAAGCTTGTGGTTCCGCGTAGAGCGCTTTCTTTGACTCCGAAGTATCGTCGTGTGTTATGATGATAACCCAGCTCGTCCTAGAAGGTAATATCCATCTACTCGTGCGGCGATGTTTTGGCGGAACCCTCAAGACAGCAGCAACGCTCGTGCCGCGGTGTTTGTTTACATCGACTACAGTGGTGCTTTCTTCGCGTTTGTGTCCTCGAACATCGCCCTGATTTCTTATTTCGCGCATTCCGTGCGTCTGCTAAAGTTCAAGGTATTACTGGTGCGTACTGTATTTAAAGGCGTGTATGAAGGATGCGAATTTTGACGTTTTTTCATAACCGAGAAAAGTGATTAGTGTTAACATTCCTGAACACTCGCAACGCCAATGTGATCACGAAATTGCGCTTCTACGTTGCTATAACGCTGCTAAGATGACGTCGGCTATCGTCATCGTAGTAGATGAGTGTGGCAAGATTTGTACTATTGGCAAAGTCGTGTGTTAAAGTAGTGATCGTGCAAGACGACGCACTGCAACTTTTTTTTCCATGCACTGTACCCTGAAAGCCTATACTGAAAAAAAAATAATAATAAAGCTTGAAAGCTATAGGAAACTGTATGCCTATTTTTTGTTACGCCAGTGAGTGGCAGCGCGCCCCCTCCTTCTTAGACGCACCGCTTGAACAGCTGACGGTGGCGGAGAAGTGGTCGCCGTGCTGACGACCCGCTGCGCTTGTTGCAGTGGTTGTAGGAGTGTGTACCCGCGGCGCAGTGCGATCGTTCCGGTCACAACGAACGCAGTCGTTCATAACGCGCTCGTTGCAGATGTCTCAACCAGCCTTGAAGCAAGCGAATTTATTACGTTATGTTCGGATTTTAACTTCGTTCAACTAGACACATATTTGTCAAGAGTAACATATTCTTCGTCATCTGTGATAGACAGAAGCCTTACTACTCACTCAGTCCCAATTTCTTTAGTATCCTATTTGGCCTGTCTTAGTGACTAATCGTTAGTTCAATTTACTCTCAATTTGCAAAAGGCTCGTCGTTATGAGCATTATAATATATTAGAAATTCAAGTGAATCGGACTTTACTTGAATACAGCAAGAGTTAGGCAAATTTTTTTGTTGCTATCTAGGGGGAGTTTATAATTGTTTAGTTGAAACAGATTCGAAGAAGGTAAAATGTGTTGCCTCTTCATGTGATGCCTCTGACATCTCATGAATTTCAGCAATTGAAGAGACACAATGTCTCTTCAGTTGCGTTAAATATGAATACTGTGTTTTTAAACAAACTTTTACTAACAGTATTCTTCATTGACTTGACACTTTAAATAAATCAATACATACATAACATGAGGCAGATTGTCTTGAAAAACTTTGTATTGTGAGGTGCCTTCAAAAAACTGCATACTCTTAAGGTTTGTGTCAAATAGGTTTTTCGTATGGTGTTAAAGATATGGGTCGTATGGGCGCATATGTTTTTTTCAGTGGAGTAATGACAGCTGTATGAAGTCATCCAAAAACGGATACGTTTCTTTCAGCATGATGCGTATGTCATGTTGAAGCGCGAATAATTAGTTGGCAACGTTAAGGTGCCTATATTAACGTTATCAAATAACGTGATCACGCCACTCTTGTGAGTCACGTGACACCTATTGTGGTCACGTGATCACGAATAACGTTCTCACGCTCACGTGATGCCATGGCACAAGAGGTGTCATTTGACACACCAAGTTTACGTGATTACATTTGTAGGTTTCTTTATATCTGACGTGCCCATCAATCGCGGCGTCAGGTGCCATCGCGTCTTGGTGTCATGTGACACTCCCACGTGACGTGACGCCATATTATAGCCTTATTTTGTGGCGTCGCCTGACAGCACGCTACATGCTGATAACCTCACGTGATATCCGGCACGCTGATAACATCACGTCACCACAATCCGCTAAATATTGGCGGAAAGCATTTGGTGCATTTCAGATATCATCCGTAGAACTTAGGTACTCTTATACTCGGCTTCAACATGTGTGAGCAAAGCGTTAACTGCACTAAAGTGACAGTGTGTTTGTAAGAACGCCAGAATGTGCTCTTATTATTTTTAGAACATTTCGTCACACCTATGACTTAGAAGCCGGCCCATAAAAGAATTCTGCTTTAATTTACTCATGAACAATATAACAATTAATACAAAAGAAATTACCTTGATGGTCCACAAGTGAGATAATCGTTGGAGAAAATGCATTCATCTGCTTTATGTAGTATGATAATGACGCTATTGTATAACTAGAATGGAAAAAAGAGGCATATAGGGAATTTCGCGGAGGAATGCAATACTGGGAATGCGTAGAATTTTGATATTATGACTCTAACTTATGGCAATATAAATTTAATGTTACATTTTGTTTGATTGGAGGAGACTAAATCTGCGAGAAAGCAGTTTTTCTCGTGAAAGCTAGAAATGAGGTTGTCATGGGTATTGATATCGAGAGCTCATTTTTGGTGGTCAAAGATGCCTGCAATACATAACCTAGACGATTGATGGACAATATTGCACAACATGTTTTGCACGCACACTATAAGAAATTATTGCAACCAGTGTTTGTTAGAAACATATAATTCCGTAATTTGAGTGGTAGTGTCATAGTAAAAGGCAATCATGAACTACGAAGCGCTTGTGGCAGGGTCCATTCAGGGCCTTCCCCCAATATCAACCTAGAGAAACTTGACAAGATTACAACGGTAACGTATTTGGTTTGTATGACGTCGACAATTGCTTTTCATCAGCCGCCACACCCAGCGCCGATCCGGGAAACTGTAAGTCGCTGCATGGCGCTCTACACCATGCCGCCGATACATTCGCCTTTTGCATATTAAAGGCTCGAGCCCTGTAATTATTCTGACCACCTGCCTTCCTGTATTCTCAGGTCATGTTTATCTTCTGCAATACGTTGTGCCTAAGCGAAATAAAATGTTGGGTTCTTTTTCGTGGGACAACCTTGTTTGTCTACGCGTAGCTGCATGATGGTGAATTTCCGAGTTTAATGCTTGAATTCACTGTTCTATGTTTCATGACAAGTCACATAGCACTCAAGAAATAAATCTACCGTACATTTTTTTTTTGGGGGGGGGGGGGGGGGGTGGGGGGGCACGGTATACAGAGTCCAGCGTTCTTTAGGCTCCAAGTGACCATAGTGGGGCTCAGGTACTTAGCGTTCGGTTTTTCAGCGTCATGTTTACGTTAGTTGATTAGCGTGCTCTTTCTCTTTGGCGCCATCTGTGGATGGTGCAGCCTGCCTCTTCTCGTACGATATCTTATGGTTCCATTCTTTTTTTCGCAACCCGTATATCAGTCAGTTTTAGAGCTTTGTTTTTAAATTGTTTTCATATATTTTTATACTCCGTGTTACTTATAAGTCCAACCGCAACCGATGATACTATACAATGGAGTCAGTCCAGCAGGGGGGAAAAGTACACCTTCACGGAGCTCATCGCCTGTGCGTGTTTGCAATCAGGGGCTAAACCAAAGATGCACATGAATGTGCCGTGACGGTGCACTTTTGGCGCAGCTTGACTGACACCGTCGGATTGTATTGTCCGTTGCGGTCAGATTTGGAGAAACGCAGCATGCAGACCTTTGCATCGCTTATCACCCGGGCGAAAACTGCTGAGTCATTGAGCGGTGGATGCGTGCGCAGCGTACGGTATACGGCACACCAGAGAAACAGTGTCGCATGTTCCCAAGGCTTTCCACAGCCCAGCAGAAAAAGATGGCAGAGTGCAGAAGGCGATTTTCGCAAAGGTCTACGGGAAGCGCTATTTATTTATTCTTTTGAGGTAACCTTCACCGCCCTAAGACATTTCAGAAGGCCTTCAACGCCCGACGGCATGACGTATAAATAATTTAGGAAAGTTACTTTAACCACGTGAAACCTCAAATTCCAAACCGTGTTTTTCTACTGTATGATGTTTTTATTTCCGGTCCCATGCAGCATAAAATGGTGGTGGGGCGCAGGTGTAGTGACCTATTAATGCATTGAGTTGTGACTCCATCTACGTGGTATTTGAACGTCAAACGAAACAAACTCAGACATACTTTTTACTGGAGCTGATGACCCGGAAATCTAAATTTGCGGAATCGGGAAAGACCTGGTAAATTTGCACTCCACATAGCCTTTTCCCCGAGTGTTCGCTGGAGGCGTATAAGTTAGCCTCTGGGATGTGATAGAAAACCTGAAACGATCAATGGTATACATTTAACTTAAATGCTCGCCGTTCTCAGTTATTAGCCGTTATTTTAACGTTAATGTAATCTAGATGACTCGTTAGATTTCATAAAAAAATGAAAGCCGTTTACAATTCCCTGTAACGCCGGATTAGAGTGCAGCTCTTGAGGAGGATGGAAGCGTACTGAGGGATAGGTGACTCCTTGAGGTCACGCGACTTCAGGCGGGTCGTGTGACGTCAGGGGGGTCCCGTGACCTCGGGGGGAGGGGGGTCGCGTTACCTCAAGGGGGTTCACGCGACCTCAGGGGGTCACGTGACCTTGCGGGGGATAACGTGACGTTGGGGGTGGGGGGTAACGTGACCTGGCGGTTGCGCCGACGGCAACGGCGACGCCGACGCCGCTCAAGCCGGAAACGGGCTCTAAGAGCTGCGCTCTAAAAAAATATTCCTCGAAATATTATGTGGCAACTTAGCAAACTTCGCCACGTGACTACTTAAAAAAATATTTATTAAATCTAAATGATTATCCTGCCCTTGATGAGCAATGGCTAGACATATCTAAATAAAACTTGCCACCTAAGTTATTAGTTAAAATAAATTGCAATTTTCGGTTAATTAAGCGACTAGTTGTTCGTTTATCCTCGTTTCCGGACCTCCATCGTGGCCTATAGCGGCATTCCGCAGCAAGGATTCTTTAGTTTCATTTTGTGCTTCGAGTATTTTCGTCTTGAGAAAAACACCATGGATATATTGGGCGCTTTTTAAGCTGGACCGCTGGGAGATCTTCCCGCCAGCGGTCCTGCTTCGCCGTGGCCGAGGAACGCAACTCAAGTACGGCATGAGGGTTGCGAGGCGGTGGCTGTGCACCTCAGCCACTAGGAGGAGAAAAGGGAGGGGGGTTCTGCAGAAAGTGTAGACGGATGTGACGTCACGTGCGGTGCGTTGCCCAAATCTATATTGTTGACTTAATGTTTGCAATTTCACCAAAAATCAAATATGTCTTTCTAAGAAATGTTGGCGTATATCCTTTTTAATTTCAAAATTGCTCTTGAAGGCTTAAGGGAATTGGTTGACTCCCTCTCCTCTTTCCTCTACATCTTGATCAAATGATTTGATTTAGTAGTTTCTAATAATGCATAGAAAGCTTCTAATTGGAATTATATGTTTAAACTTACCGGTGGAGGGGTTAATTTTTCGGAAGTAATTAATAAACTAATTACGCAAAGTTTTCAAACTCGACGCTTTGGCAGAAAACAATGCATTTTTTTGTGTGTGCAATGCGTACTTTGGGGAGGAGCAGTTTGGCCGCGTTTTGAGATACACCCTGTATAGAAAATTTCGGACTTTGCTATCCTCAATACCACGGGTCTCAAACGCATTAAACTGTATGTATGTATGTATGTGTGTGTGTGTGCTGGGGGGGTGTTGGGGGGGAAGGAGGGCCAACCCACAAACTGTCGAGGGCCAACGTAGGGCCTGGGGGGGGGGGGGGGAGGGGTGAATATGTAATAGGATAAAATAACAGAGATGCTGTTCCACGTTGCTAACAGTCGAGTCTTACCGCGGCGCCCAGATATTTCCGAAGTGGATCTCGTGATTTGGTCATACAACAACTTCTAGCTTGTACCACGTGTGATTACAAGATTTAAAATACCACCATGCAGCCAACGCGCTGGAAGTTTTCCATACAACTAGAAACCAAACAAAGAATCGTTACTACGTCGCTCAATTGACTCGGGAAGTATCCGAGTTCAAGATGTTTTGAAATACTTTTTTTCGTAACTTCGATATTGCTTTCCCGATTATCTTTTTATGAGAATAACAATAAAATGCTTTTGTCGGAATGGTATGTAAGAAGAAATAATCCTCGATATGACCACAAAAACAGATTAATGTCAAATGTGTTATAATGCATAAGAGAAGAGCCGCGTATCGAGTTGAAATAAATAGACGAAAATAGGCCATTATATTTATGGCGCATGCATATCTCGAGGCATATGAACGGGTGCTCGCAGCCAGGGGACATTTCAGGGCCCCGTCCGAAAGAGTCGCGGGTCGCGTGTTTGAAACCCCTCCTATATTGCTTTATATGGGAATAACACTATACGATCTAATACGCTTCCAACGTAAATAATAGTGTTTGTTAAAGTTTACACATCTACAAAACTTGGTCTTAGTTTTGTGATAACGCTGAGGGCGTTGACTTTTCAAACTACAGCATTCCTCTTGTGAGTATACACAATGTCGGAAAAAGTTAATACATTTAAAAAAAACCTCCGAAAAACATTTGCCGGTAAAAGTTTGGTGAATTCGGATTTATCCGAAATACTCTGAAGAAAAAAACTAAACAAAAAAGAAGGATATTTTACAATTAAGCTTGTTCAGCACACAGGGTCAATGATCTTGAGAAATAACACCACATTTATCTTTGAAATCTCGGACCATTGTCACAAGGGGTCTTGACACTTATCTCGTCAGGGGCTCAGTCAGTCCGATAGGTCATTGCATTTTGGGGTGACAACAAAAGCCACTCTTTTGGTTTCTAGTTGGGACCATACTATTTTTTGCTCTAAAGGAAGTAATGGTTATGATTTTGTAACAGTGCAAGCTATGGACCTTAGATATTGCATGAAATATTGAAGAGCGGCAGTTGGAACTTCTCTATTACATCCTTTACCTAGGGTGTCTTCATGTGCGCTTCGCGTAGAGTGATGCCAACTGCCTGTTTGCCTTTCCCACACCCTCTTCCACCGCCATTTTGTTAATATCATTGTTTCCCCGTGCGCCGGAAAGTGACCTTTGTGTCCATCGGTCCTCCCATTCGAGGGGGAAAATGCTAATCCTCCCTCCGTGGGTTCCACAACGCTGCTCCGAACTTGTGAGATAAGGTGCTTGTTTCCAGGAGGGTTATAAGCCCCACGGATTATCGCCGAGAACCAAAATGGGTTCTGCTTTGTAGGCGGGTGGTATTACAAAAGGTGGCATCACCCTAGCAAAGGGCACATTAAGGCTCCCTACCTTTACCATTCCTTCTCGAGCGTTCGCGTGGTAATTTGATGGAATAGGTTCCCATCAACCACCTCCTGGAGTTTATTTATTCTAGTGTGTTGACGTTATCTAAGCAACACTTCCGCGCAATTTCTCATGGCACAAATTAATTGCCAATGGCAATGGCACCAACGCGGAATCTAGTCGAAGAAATATTAATTGATACAATAGCGTTTTTTTTTCTAGCATACGTTTACGTCCACATATTATTCACTTATTTATTTTTAATAGGAAACACTGCTAAGTTAAACTCCGATTTTCGATGAATTGGGAATCAATCAAAAATAAACTCCGATCGAGTCCACATTTTCGTCAAAAAAAATGAACTCCGAAAAACACTCACAGAATTTGACGAAAAAAAACTCCACAAACACCGAATCCTAAAGATAGGATATATTAAGCCCTATTATATGGCAATTACAATGCCACACAGGGTTTATATAATAGTTTCAAGATAGAAACACGATCAAATCTAGAAAATCGAATTTACCTCCGCGATCATCTGAAATTCATTCATAAAGATCGTGTCTTCTTTTAATGGCTTGGAGACTTCTATGAGCAAGCGAAGTTTTTGCGCTTCTTTTAGAAAGAGTGCATCACTTGAGGAGTTGAGGGGCTCCGGGAAGGGGTCTAGATAAAAGAGAAATATTAGACATTCAACGAATTTAAGTTATGCATTGCCTAATTTTGTTTTTGTTTTTTCTACAACCAATGCGACACATAATATTGAACTATGTTTTTGCAGCCATGCGCTTTGAAGAGCGGTTCTCTTTGCGAAAACTCAGGCATAATAAAATAATAAACACCAGGTAGACGTTCCCCATTTCGCTCGGAAGAACGAACCATATAATGATATATCTTGTGATGCAAATGGCGGTAAAGGACACCGACATCGAGGAAGTGTTTAACTTGGATCTTGTTATACAAGTGCTTAGCAGAGAATTTCAGACATCTAAAGGTTTCTTCAAACACTTCTTCTTTTACTCTAGAAGAAAAATATCTGTCGAGCGGGCAACTGGTAATACCGACCGCGCAATGAAACTTTCTTTGATAGGTGGCGCCATCCTGCGTAGAATTTCGTCAACTCTGAGATGACCGGCGGTCGCAATCATTTGAAGCAATCTCTAGCTGTAATCTCCGAGTGCACTGCCGAATTTTGACGCGGCGCTTATGTCTAATGATTGGGTGATTATACCTTCCCAAAGTAGCCCTTTTTGTCCACCAACTGCGCGGACTAGCAGCGACCAAAGCGCCTTTATTCACCGTCCCCAGACTATAAGAGAGAAAATTGTTTTCAAACCATTTAGTGCATTCTAGATTGCAAAATAGAATTTCCCGAAGTACCGTAACTGGATAATACATCTCACTAGTATAAAAATTTCGAGAACTGAATGCAGTAGTTCCATTCATGAAACAGTTCGTGCATGATTACTAAAAAAAAATGTTAAGAAATCTTGGTTGTTGAGACAATAGTGTGAAGAAGGCCACACGGAGCATTCTCTCCTATTACACGACTGTCAATGTGCCGTTGTTATGTGCCTTTCGAGGCAACTATCCGCCTTTCAGAAATATATGAATCGCCATAGGTTAAAAATAGGTAACACCTCTCATTCTTTGTAAAGAGTGGGTAAATGAAAACGTGTCGTTTTATGTGTGTATCCTCTTTTAGCCAGCGGCACTGGCGGAAGGGGAAGGGTGTTATACAGTTCCGGAGGCCCGCCTTGCGAAAGTACTCGAGAAGCGAACGTAAAGGCCCGTTCACACACTTGCGACTGCTCGCGACCGGAGAAGCTAAAAGCTGGTTTTTAAACATTTCCTGACAGCTTACTGCCGGTTCCGAAACAGAGCAGCCGGTCGTAAACGGTCACAAAAGGTTTAGAAACCGGTCGTATTGAAATCGGTCCAAGTCAAACGCAATATTGTGAACGGGTCTTTATAGATGGCCTGTTGGGTGGGACCAGGTGTGCTGACTCGTAGCTTTCTCTGTACCTTCGGGAAGCTCAGTCCATGCGGAGTTCCGATGCACTTGTCTATAGCGTCGGGCATTCCCAAAGAAGGTGCTGAAAGTTGGCAGTCGAAGCCTGGAGCCCCTCTGGGATAACGCGAGTGCGGCGACCCTTTAACGCGATAGCGTTTAGGAGTTCGTGTCGCAGAAAATCCGGCGTCGGCGACGGGGTCGGCGTCGACTCCGGCGTCGACTCCGGCGTCGGTGGAACCGAAAAATCTCATGATGCAAGGCGCGCAGCAACGTGTTTTACATGTGGCGTCACGCGTGGCTGCGCGCGTTGAATTACGGGATTTACCCGTTAAATTTGGAGGGAAAAATTTCCTGCCGAATTTAGCCCAAAATGTTTCCGCAAAATTTAGCAAAGCGTTTCCCGCCAAATTTAGCGGGTCGATACGGTCATGACGTCACAACCACGTGTGACGTCACATGACACGTGACGCCACCGACTAGACCACGGACACACGCTTGCACGGCTTGGCAACGAGTACGCCTTTTAATGACGAGGCTTTGCGAACGGGACCCGATAACGCTATCGCGATCCACTCTTGAAGACACAGCACAAGCGTCCCCTCGGTATTTTGGGGTTTCATTTCAAAAAGCGCTCGTTTGGCCGCCGTGACTGTGGCACCGTTCCGTTTCCTCCGGAGTCGAAAGACTGATAACTGGATGTAGCCAGGCGGGACTGTCGAAAGCTCTTGAAAGATGCCGAATAATATTTAAAAGAAAAATAATTAAGAAGATTCAGGCAAGTAGTCTCAATCTTACTTGCTCTTTCCTACGCGCCTTCCTCCACCGGCAGGAATACGCGAACAGACTGCAGACAACAACATATATATATATATATATATATATATATATATATATATATATATATATATATATATATATATATATATATATATATATATATATATATATATATATATTGTTAGGAAGAAGAAGTCGTACCCCAGGGTGGCGCGCGCTCGACGAGCATTCAGAGAGCTCGGACTGTTCCCGGACGAATGTCACCCCTACTATCCATCCTGTATCTAATCATTCCTCATTAAATCACCCTATATTTGTAACCTAATAATATATGTGTGTGTGTGTGTGTGTCTGCTTTTGAACATTGTTACCACACAGAAAAAAAATCGTTTTTCTCGACGCGAATTTACACTGCATAATCGTTCATATACTAAAAAAAAAAAATTATGAATTATCGTGGTAAAGCTTGTCGTTGCCAGTCTAGCGAGCCTACATTACAGAGCGTTTCCAAGTAATTGATCGTGGTCACGTGGTTTACGAGCCAACTTTGCGATACGAGCTGGGAGGAGTTGCCGAAAACGTTGGTCGTCTGCAAATACCTCAACATTTCCGCCTGCTTTCGTCCTCACCACGCAAAGACAGCGCATCTGCACTTGCGACAAGTATCCACAGGAAGCTAAATCCACACGCCCCCCCTTTCTCCCTCCCTCCCTCCCCGCTCCCCCCCCCCCCCCCCCCCCCCCATGGTTTGAGATATATACCCTCTCTTTGATCCAGGCTCTCACGCCAGCCTATCCTATGACGTTCTCGGCGTTTTAGCGTTCAGCACTCCACGTGGGAGCGGGCTTGAAAAACAGTAAGCAGACAAGAGCAGGCTGCTATAGATCACAGAACATAGAACATGGCTTTGCTGGTAGAATACATTTGTTACAAAATACAAAAGCCAGCCGGAATAAGCCTCAAGAGCTTGTGTACCTGGCTCGGCGGGTGACGAGATGAGATCGATTATATAACGAGGAATATTATTTGAAGGGAATTCTTTCCATTCTATAAAAGACCCGTTCTTTGAAACCTCAGTGCATATTACCCTATACAAAAAAGATAAACACACCAAACAACATCTTAAACACAACGCAACCTCAATATTAAAAAAAAAGAAAAACATCAAAACAGGAGAAATGCAGTGCATTTGAAAATTTGACTCCATTCCTCTAAGTTCCATATTGTTGTCCCAAGCGTTTTCCTCGGTGTCAAGGAGCAATAATACTGGGAGGCGGTCAAATACCTGCGGCAGATAGTACGCTCTCGTGCGCTTACCATAACGTGTTCGAATACCCAGTACCTCAAAGCGAATAGATGTCCTTATTGGCCGCTGATGAATATAAGGCGCTTTGGCAGGAAATGCACACCCGCCATTTTTGCTTAATCTATTTTTTTTATGCTACCAGTTTTGAGTTTACGTTTAAAAAATACATACAGATCTTCGATCGAAACGACGTCCGAGCGCTCAAGTTCAAGTACGTACGTTTGGAATTCAAATTGTGCAAGGCGTGCGAAATGTGCTGGCGGTTACAGCCACACGATGCTTGTACGCCTCGCTTTCAACATACGAGCTTCTTTAACGTCCGACAGAAACGACACACACCCTAAATAATCTGTGATGCTCAAAAAAGAGACGGCGCTCTGCTCAAGGCTCAAGCATCGAAAAAAAGCGAAGTCATAGTGTTGTGTTCTAAATTCTTTTTCTTATTCTATCCCAAGTAGCACAGCTCTTCGGACCAACTCTTGGTTTTTGTCTGTCATTTAAGCACCCTGAAAAAATCACGAAAATACAAGAAAGCTAAAGGATAATTGAACCTAAATTAAAAATACGAAAACATTCAGTTGGAACATTTTTTTTTCAGTTTACACGAGCTTATTGGCACTAATGGGACCCAAGTGTACTCGCACTCGGCGTGACTGACCAAAAGCTTCTTTGTTGCGGTGTAATATTGCCGCCCGCGCAGCTGGCTGAGTAGGTAGCGCGCGCGTGGCCTAGCGGTTATCGTACCTGCCTCCCAAGCCAAAAATCAGGGTTCGATTCCTGGGAGCGACGCATTTTTTGTTATTCCTGCGATTTAGTTTTCTGGTGAATTCGAGAATCGTGTTGCGCTTGTTCGAGGTCCGAATGGTTCTACGTGTCGAACATTCTATCCCGATTATTCCAGAAGCTCACGTAGGTACATGGGGCTCCGCGTGGCGATCTGCATTCAGTCTCGCCCCAGCGTTCGACTCTGCTGTTACACCGACTTCGACGCCCGCGACGCTCTGTTATTATCTTTTGGACCCTTTCATTTTTGGCACAAGTTCGCCACATTAAACGTTTATTTCTTCCTGTTTATTTATTGTTTTTTCGGTCACCACCCGTGACAATATCGAGAAAAAAAGCAAGCGTTTTTTTTTTTTTGATCTCTCACAAAACTCGATGACGTAGCTTGGAGGTCGCAGTGTTACACTCCCCGAGTGACGATATTTGAATGCAGCTCAAATATTTGGTCCCAAGCATTGCGTAAGCAAACGATTTGGGCTCGTGATTATCAATAGCTCGACAATCGTTCGGTTACTGAATCGTGTACAATAGCTGGGATGACGGCAATAGCCGAACCATAACAATGTCTGAAACTCCGCTGGTGTCTTGTGCTTCGCCAACCCCTGCGCATGGCTGTGAAAAACATTTACGGCGTATAATCGGCTCCATATTGCTTGACCGCTTGTTCTGGCTGCTTATTAAAGGAGTTTACGCTGGTCGTGTTTTTGTGTGTGTGTGTGTGTGTGATTATTGTTTTGTGGGGAGAAAACGTAACCTGTGTTTCATAGGTAATCAGTTATAAACGGCAGGAATTAATTCTATGCCGTATTTACGCAAAGTACACAACCTCGTCTTTCATCTTTGTCCGAGCCTGAATTTTTAGGCACTATATTGCTTAATATGTGCATTCGTTAGCCTTTACTGCTTCGTTGTGCGGTTGTCACCTGACTTAGTTAAGTCTCATTTCCGGAGGAAACGCCAGAACAAGACTCACTTTTGGTTGTGTAGTTTTCACCCGAAAATTCGGAGGTCAAGCTTCCAAACAGGGGCCAGAACTAGGCCTCACGGCGGCTGGTTACTCGATTATATTTGGCTCATGTCTGGCACTTTGAAAATTATGTACCAAACCAGAGAAGAGACACAGGAAAGCGAACGAAAAGTACTTTGGCACTAACTAATGTCTTGGAGCAAAACCTCAATAGTCGCGCCCCTGTAGGGTTGCCAAACTTGGACCTGCTCCCTGTAATGTTTTAGTTTTCAAGTAGCTGGAAATGTTTGTAGTACGCACATGTATAGCAGAGAAGTTTAGTTAGTTCTGTTAGTTCATACGGTCTACGTTTACGTACCTCGAGTTGGCCGTCCATACCCACAATATAACCGATAAATTGAGTGGCAGGGCGTGTCGTGCATCTTGCTTGTAAGGTCGGATACAACAAAGAGCTCGCAAACTGCAACCACGCAATAAAAACAATTATTAGTTTTTTTTTATTTTTTTTTTTCATGCATAGTTACTATACTCGTTGTCAGATCAAGAAAAAGGCCAGTTTTTCGCAGTCTTCATACGCTGCGCAAAGTAGTTCTTGCAAGATTTTGTTGTCTGGGAAAGCTATAATATTTTTGGCGCTTGAGACGTGTGAGCTATGGTAAGGTATACCCTGTAGCCAACCTGAAATAAACCTAAATGTGTCATAATTCACCACATAAAGAGGGAATTAGTAGTACCCTGTGGGGAGCCGGACATTTGTACTGCCGTTCTTGAGGTGAACACGCCTATTCTTGAAATTTCTTGATGCCTAGTCACATGTTTACGACGCACCCAACGTTGCTATGCCTCCTGTACTCCGTTTTAAGTCCAACTGAAGTCCACGGAAACGTTCCGAAGGAGCCAATCAAGCAAAAAACAAAAGAAGTGAATCGTCGCGGCACTCGCTGTCTTTATGGGTCACCATCACCAACTAAGCCAATGACGTAAACAAAAACTTGGAGCTCGCTTAAGCTTCGCCTTTAAGAGTGAAACACGATAATGTTATTGGGCTCCGTTCGCATCGCCGTCTCATTCGCTTCTCATGCTCGGAAGCGGAAGTGCGTTCCGGCATCCGCAGACGCTATCGCATCTCAGGATCGTCCTGTCGCTGATGTCGCCTTGCTTCGGCTTCCGAGGGCACGCATAGAAACATATAAATTCCAGCTCGTGCCCAAGCAATGCTAGCATGGCTTGCGCGGCCTACACTGTAGCACGTCTCGCTCGCAACCGAAGGGTCGCCGGTTGAAATCCCGTCAGAACTTTTTCAATTTTTTATTCATCACGGCAACGCTCACGTTTCACGTGAGCGTTGTCGGTTGTTTGAAATTCCCGCGTGAGGTCATGGTCCTGTGACGTCAGGAACCTATCGACCAATCCTGAATTTTTTGTGCACGCCACCGACGGCGGTTTTCTAAGACACGAGCTCCTTAACTCCTTAAGTGCCAATTTTTTTTCCAAGAGTAACCTAAAAGTGCCAGATTTCTTTTTTTATTTTGAATTGTTACTCCTCTTGTATTACACATAAAATATGAAAAGTCTATTACGCAAAAATCAGCGGAGGCGAAAAAATATTTGACAACTAATACGAGTGCTGCCATCTATGATCAGCACTGCAAAAATACTCGTACGAGCTGAGCTCGTCCACGGCATTTTTAGCCAGAAAGTGGCCGACGAGCTCAGCCCGTCCAAGGCACTTAAGGGGTTAATTCTCTCGGGTTAAAAAAACAAAACATCGCAGTGAATTCATTGGGCGTAAATCGTTTATTCGGAGTTGGCAAAGGGCATAAAAGTGAGGAGCGCCGTGACGATGCACGTTTCGTGCGGCTTGATTGGCTCGCTCGGATGGTAGCATTGGCTGGGGTCGGGATGACAGTGAAACGGAATATTGTGTAAATTAGGTCTCTTAAGGTAGTGAATGCTTACGCATACCCTTGTCTCGTACGAGACACTATTTTTCCTATGAAAATCGGCTTACATTCGTGATACTGAACTTAAGATATTCTTATGGGCGACAAAAAATATTGATTGCTCACAAATATTACGTACAACTACTGGCATGCGGTTTCAATCGGAAGTCTCGTGTCTGTGTTTTTTTTTTCTCTCTTCAATGAACGTATTTGCGGTTTTTTACAAGCCACGAAAGATGGGTATCATATTTCTTTGCTATTCTTACTATTGAGTGTGTGCCTTCGATGCCACACGACTTCGATTATATTTGGTGGTTAGGACTTAACCATAAAAAAAAAAACGGCACGTGACCATAGAGAAAAGAGTGAGCGCGGCTCGAACTCGCCAGTTCTCAAACTGCCGCAAACTGTGTTATGGTTTCTTTGGCTCTCATATGTCATGTACAAATAAAAACCTTGGCAAGCATAAATTCCCTGTCAGTGTCCCTATAACGTGAACAGGGACTATTCGCGCGACGTTTGTAGGCTGCGCACCCAGGCGCGGACTCGCGAACCGCGGCTTTGAAAGCGTGTGGGCATGTCATGCTGCATGAGCTCATGGCGTGGCAGAAATGGGAGCAAATCTTCGACACGCTTGCTTTCTAGCGAGGTGCCTTTTCTTGCACCGCGGCCACTGTGAAAGAAGAGAGAGGTGACCTAATCGAAAACCTCAGAGATGGCCTTCACCATGTACCCTGCAAACGGACGCCTATAAGTTGACAAAGCCTGGTAAGCACATTCTGTTTTGAAACATAAATGACCTTGTAAAAGTTTTGATAATATGCGTTGATTTTGAAAAGGTGAATTACTTACGATATACGTGGTCGAACGATGTAATAAAAATTAAACAACAGTTGAATTCCGTAAAAAACAGCCTTGTGTTTTCTTTTTTTGGAAGACTGACCCTATCTGAAAAATGGAAAAAATTGGGTTGAGTGTATATTTATAGAGCCTAGAACTTGGTCTGCCTCGACGGGCAACGAGTCTCCCAGCTGTAGATGAGCAATTTAGCCAGTGCAGTACAACCGCTAGCCTGGGGTCTTTAACGTGCATCACGCAGTAGTGATACACGACCGCACGCCGGTACGATGCTTATCCAGATAGAAACGGGCAGGGGTGGGGATTGAACCCAGGATCCCTGAGTTCTGCAGCGCGAGTTTTCGCTCCACGTGCTCCGAGCTGGTGTGCGCTAGCCCACTCAGCCACCGATCCCGCTTGAAAAGTGGAATTTCGTTTTAGATTGCGGCTTTCCCACAAACGCAGAGCGGCGTGAATAGTAAGCTATCGACGTTCAATGCTTCGTGAGTCAAGCGAGTCACGTGATCCCCTGGTCGTGTGACGTCAATCTCCCAGTTAACCTTTGCCGTGAATGACTTACACGTGACCTCATACTGTGACCTGAAGAGGCTTGACATCGATCCCCCCCCCCTCCCCTGAATTTAGCGGGGGAATTGACGTGACCACATCATGTAACGTTATGTCACGTGACATGAATTCCTTCGTGGGGAGTTTGCTGGATTGTATATTTTGTGCTCGATACACTCTATGTTCCCTGGTTTTTGTCAGCATGATCAAGCTTGTGCAATTTTTCTTTTCTCTTCAGCTCTGCGAGCTTGACATCGGAAATGGAAAAAATAAAGAAAGCTTTTGTCTTTCAATGGTCGCCTGTCCGCTTACTCTTATGCCATTGAACTACAACTCGCCAGACGTTTTGGTGGCACCGTGAAAACAACTGTCTGCGACGGGGAAGCGGCCGTCTTATAAGCAAATATAATTTTTGTTGGGAGTCCACTCGTCGAAGGAGCGTGTACGTGCTGCACAGAGCCGTCGTTGTAGTCGCGGATGACGCCGCCATAGCTAACACACTTGCCGTAAATGCCTCAACCGGTAACAAATGTCCGACACGATGGTGATTTTATGTCTGTGAGAGTTCCATTTCGCGATTTGAACAGGAGCAGGCTCTAGTGCTTTCTGTCTTGCGATAGAAGACACAAATCTTTTTAAAAATATCGAGGCATTTACTAAGGCCGCAATCGTGTTGGAACGCCTAAACACAAGTTAGAATCCCCGACAAAAAAAAAAACGGCCAAAGAAGAAACAATTATTGTGAGCTTTTTAATATTAAAAACTTATGTCACTGGCAGCAGTCGCATTGGGCTTGCTGGGCAACTGGTAAATCTCCCTACACCTGCATGGCGGGAGCACGGCGCACCCGGGGGGGGGGGGGGGGGGGGGGGGGGGCGGAACTAGCGTCGTCTAAAATGGAAGCTCCCTAGATCCTCTCTTGAAACGTTATAACTGCGCCATAGATTGGGAGCTGGGAATAGGGAACAATTCGTGTAATAGTGCAGGCTACCGTCGAATATTTAATTTGACTCTCGAAACTGGTTCTTCAACATTCACGTTTTACTTTATTAGTGGCATCTACTTTAGCCCCAAAGTTATAAAAGCAAAGGAAAGCAAAATGTGGACTGGTTGTTAGTTCTAACCTTATCGTGTGCGTTAATGGCAGGAACTACTTGAATCTTACGTACTATTGGGTGGGCTAAAAATTTCCTTATGTGACTCACCCAGTCGTCGTGGTATTCGTATTGTTGAAAACTGCTTTGTTTTGGTATCTTGAACAACCTCCACGGAAACTGCTCCCTCGCGCAGGCTGTAACCAAAATAAAAATTGCAAACGACTACATAGTGTGTGCTGCCATTGATAGCGGTAGCTGCTGTCTTGTAGAAAGGCATGTTGAAGGAGATTTTCCTTCAGCCAGTGTGCTGTGAAATTCTGACTGCATGTAGCTGATCTGGTTGGTGATTCATGCTTCTGAAGATGCCAGCTTAACGTTGGAAGGTACACACTTACTCTCTCTCTTTTTCTCTTCGTGCACCTCTGTACTTTCTGCTGTCGTCTTCTGAAAATGCTGTACAATGTTTGCAATGGGTTTTTGTAGTTTTCGTGAAATTAATGTAAGAGACATGTGTGAGGAGATGTGTGCTTTGGTGGAATGATTGTGATGTGCGACATGTTGCCTATGCTGAAGAAAGACACAAAGGCGAGCTTTTTTCCTTTTGTTTTTGGCTGAAGCTATATTTAGAGCAGGGGTTTCCGTGACCGCGCCTGCGGTAGACAAGCGAAAGTGCTTACTCGAGCCGTTTTGTAGAGGCGCGGAGAGTAGACGAGAACGGAACCTGGGCGGCGACAGTGAGGTGGCTAGGGAGCGTGTACGCACAGTGCGACCACGTGGGTATTTCCCAACGGCGGCTGCCGGAGGGTTGGCAAAGGGGGAGGGGGGAATAGGGAGACCGTCGTCACTGCAACGGCAGCGGCGGCTTACAGGGGGGAACAAAGGGGAGAGCCTTGCCCTGTGTGAGGAGCGACGGGGTCAGGTAGAGCGGCGCCTCTGCTGTATTGTGGGGCTTCGCGTTCGTACATGAGCATTTTATACCGGGAAGGTACACTGACAGGCTACCGCTGTAAAACGTGGAAACCCATATTCCCAAACCTAGCAGATCTTCTGCACCACTGGTGCAAGATATACACTAGATGTATAAGGCTATACATTGTTAAATGCTGCTACGCTATAGACGAACGCGCTGTTAACAAACTTCCGAGCTTGCCCACAGCAGCTGTGAATAGTGCGCGTGTGACGTGACCAGATCTGCGTAAAGTGACGCGTTGCGCATGCGCCGTTCCGACAACAGCGCCACCAGAGTGGCGTGATGTCAGAGGGATGAGTCGATATATACCGTGGTTGTGGAGTATCCTGGACTGCTTTCAATTACGCATCTCGGAGGTGAAATCACCCTCAAGATACGTATAATGTTCCAAGGGAGCTCTTACCTCCCGATGACAAAGTTTTTTCTCAACTGGTCTTTTTGTTAAATAAACTGAATCGCTTCAATATAATGTTTTCAGTATTTCAAAATAGTGCTCGTCAAGCCGTTCGCCTTTGAAAGCCACAAAATAAAAGTTAGCTCGCTTTTTCAAAGCGTTAGGACCCCTGACATTGTATGTAAAATGGGACAACTACTATTATTCGAGCTGATGTAATCACAGACATTGGTGTTTTTGTAGAATGCCAATCCAGACGGAAATATCATGTAGTTACAATCTGTGGTACCGATTTTAAATTGCTTGGTAGGATCTAACGTTGGACTTGGCACTTTCAAGCACCTGATGATGCATGCTACGTATATTATTTCGTGCTGTGGTTAGGCCCCGACTGGAATTTGGTTTTGCCGTGTAATACCATTCATCGAAAAACGAATGAAAAGGTATGAAAACGCTATAAAGACGTTTGATTGGCATAGTTTATGATAGGCACTTTCACGTGAGATTTTATTTGGCATACCGTTTTCTGGAAAATTGAATATCAGCAATTTAAGTGACCCTACATATAGCCGATGTGTAGTGTTTCTACGGAAGCTCCTCGAAGGCATAGTGATGTACCTGATGTCTTCGGCAGTATAAGGTTACGTGTCCCAGTCAAATTAACGCAACTTTGCGACATGTTTTATTCCAACAAGCTAATTAAAGGATAAAAATACATCGAATTAATTTTTGTTTGCCATGACCCTTGTTCAGCACAATGTCTTACCCACGCCCTATTTAATACTGAAATTCTTCTTTACTATACTTTATTACGACTTAGTCTATCTGACGTGCAACAAAAATGTTTTAAATTTGAATATTAATTTTTGTGTAAGTGACTTCTTTTGTGCGCCAATCTCGAAACCTTTAAGGTGTTTTGGGGCACGCAATAAATATGCTTAACAGCGTTTGCAGGACTTTATGCGTAATTGCCGTTTAGTGAGAAAAATATGGTTCCTTGTTTGCTTTGTCAGTGTGGCGTGCCAAAGCACAAGCATTTTACCGACTGTAATTCTTGTGACTGCTCTCCGCTCGGATGTGCGACCGAAAAAAGATATTTAGGAATAACTTTTGATGAATGCCTAACATGGAGTGCACACGTCGAAAATCCAGTAAAGCGCCTACGAACGGTCTTAGGATATATGTACAAACTAAGAAATCTCGATATTATTTCACCTAGGAAAAGAGTGTACAAAGCACTGGCAGTCTCCCTCTTACGTTACGAAATCACTGTATATGGAACCTGTTCTGCCCACTGGAAGAAAACCTTAAATATACTAATATATAATATTGCAAAATGTATTGCCTATGGCTCAAAATTTTAAACTCTTGATAATGGAGAAAATTGACCTCTCTACAAATATTGCAGGTAGAGAAATTAAGGGAATATGTAGTTTTAATGAAATATTATTATACCAACGATTTCAAGTATAGAGTCAACAGACATTTAAGACATTCTGAAACCTTTTCCATTCCTATGGTATACACAAATTACGGGAGGCGTTTAAGCAAATATTATATTCCATTCTACTTTAATAAACTTCCGGAAGAGTTGTCCGACCTGCCGTCTCTGAAAGACGCGAAACAGAAATAAAGGAGTGGTGTTCTCGTCATGTATACATACTGTTCCTTCTTTCGCTGTCCGCTTTTCCTGTGTTAACAATGTATACATAGCCTGTTCTTGGCAAAAATGTTTGTGTCACCATTGTTTTAATTATTTTGAGCACTCTGCTGTTGGGTTGCCACGGTCCCGCACACAAGCGCTCGCGCGCGTATGCGGGCCTTCGATCAAAATTGTATACAAGAATTGCTCAATAAACGATTTATTATTATTACTATTGAATACACCATTCACTGCAAATCTCAGGGTGATAGATCCAATCGTTCTTTGCTAAATGCTAGATAGTGCTTTTGGAGAACCTTTACTTTTAAATCCCGCCATATATAGTCGGGTTTAAGCAAGAATACAGAACTGACTTTAGAATTTGTAAAGCAGGTAATGAAAATAAGAAAATAGACTAAAGCGTTTTAGTCGCATTCAAGTCCCTTTTCAGACTGCGTCATCAAATTGTTTTTTGAGGTGAGCCGAATTGCACAGTTAACAATTTATAACAATGTACACAAATTTTATTCCACACTGACGAGCGAGAATTTAATATTGGAGAGTGAACCCATTTCCCGAAATTCCAATCTCACAAACTGCATGGATTCATTGACCGCATATACTACCGGTATAACCGTGGCATAATAAGGCACTGTTCAAATGCGTTACCAGAAAATGTTCATGGTGCAGATATTTTCTAGAGTAAGGTACTTTCAAAACGAAAAGCTTACGCGTATTCTAACATCTCTAGTTAATTATCACCCTGTTTTCTCATTATACAGTCAAAATGGGAGTAAAAAACTTTTATTAATATATTTGATTTATTCACATTTCTGTCCGTATCAGAATGCAAACGAGAGTTTTAAAACACAAAACAATGGACAAAAGAACATACTACACAGATGGAGTTTCTATCAAGCAGACGTCTAGAAATACTGATTTAGAAGCAGTTGTGTTATGAATGTTGGCAATATGTCGTGTAACATGGTTTTGTTCTAGAGAATTTCACGGGAATGAATGTATAGGCAAATCGCTACCGCGTTTTGGTAATAAATCGATGATGACAATAATAATGGGGCAGAAATAATGATGAACATTTTATGGAGGTAACACCACTAACACTACAGCAGTTGTTAAGTATGACAATCTAAAATGTGGCATAATCAGATCCTAACTTGAAAGGGTGTTTGAAGCACGTTCCTGAAAATAATATACACGCCTTAGCTTTGCAAACATGAGCGTTTTGTAGAAACGCTGTTCATAGAATTAGGAGAAAGAACCAGATTTTTTCTAAAAACCAGACAACTTATTTCCATTGTTAATTTTATGTTTCATGAGATGGTCAATAGAAGATCGGATGTCAGAGTACATATGAATATCAAGGTACTAGTAACAAGATATACAAGTATAGGGTATTGAAATATATATATCAGGCACAGAGTATTACAAGTTCCGCATTTAGTTGAACTCGGCATTGTATGTCTAATTGTGTTTGCCATGTACGATGAAAGATATAAATTTCTATAAGGTCAAACTTCAAAGAGCTTCTATCATTGTTAGTCAGTATTTTTTCCGACCTGCGCAGTTCTACACAGAAAAAGGGCAACCAAATATAGGTCAAAAAATTATTTTACCATCAACACAAAACTTAAGACGACTAAAATTTAATATTTAATAACAGTAGGCCTAGCAGGAGTAATATAATATTAATAGCTTTGAACTTGTTAAAATGTTAGCGCTGAAGTAAACAAAAAAAAACGTTTAGCGGAATGCGACTCAGTGATTCGAAGTTTGTTCAGTTTTAACCGCAATAATCGAGCATTTGATATTACTGAATATTCTTGTAAAATATAATAACACATAGTTTATTCTTTACTTTCGGTCTTGAATGGCATATCGATTTACGAGCAGAATATAAAAGTTTTGTTTGTCCGGAAAATATTTAATGGCCTCCCTCCATGGGCCTTTGATATTTCACGAAATTAAAGGGAAGGCAAATAATGAAATATACTAATATACGAATGAGATATACCTTACAATAAACTGGAAATAACTAATTAGTATTATTTCTGTACTGAAAAAAAGCAAAACGAATTTTCTTTACAATACCCTCATACGTGGTAATTAACTGATCTTTTGATAACCTTTCCTCAAATTTGAAATTTTACGCGATGTGGACTATCTCCAGGTCCCGACTATACAGGAATTTTGTTTTTCAAGATATTCATTATGACGAGGCATGATGAATTTTGTGATTGAAAGAGTATGGCAATTAATTAATATCCGATAAAGCTTCTTGACGTGCTAAGAAAGCAGATATTTGACAAGGTGTGTTGTGTGTGAGAAGATTTTCGTGTCGACTAACCAGAAGGTGCGGACAATGCACGTCGTACGGTCGATACTCAGGGTGCGGACTCTCTTAGCAAAATCGTTTATTTTTAACCCTATTTGCCTTTGCTGATTATATAGTGAGTGGGAGTGCGGGCTAGAGTTGAGAAAATACAGTAGATAATATTTATTGTTTTACGCGCAAGATAGTAAAATACACTAATCCTTCTCAGGTTTAATTGCGTGCCTCCTTTTAAATATTTCTCAAAGGTGCAAAGACAATGTAACCAAGCGTATCCCCATAGCAATGTACTTCAATAACTTACACATGGCAAGTTAAAGTAAAGGGGATCGGAGTCGTGAGAATGTTCGGGTCAGGAAACCCCACTTACATGCAGTGTCCTTGCAAATCGGTATCATATATATCCATAGAAACACTTTTATTTTGCACACTGAAGTCTTTTACTTCAAGTCGGCAGATGGACCTTCCAGTGTGGGGTGTCGTCAAGGCCAGATACAGCGATCTCATATATTTCAATACCTAAAAAACAGGGCGTATTCTTTCTTACTATCTGTAGTGCATCATATTTTGTGTTTTAATACATGCTATAATGGTTAATCTACACTGGTAGACTAGCTACGAGACTATTAAGAGTAATAATCAATAACGTGTTTCTTTTTTGGTAATTCTGAATCACATAACTCTTGACTGAGCTCACTGTTTCCCTCTAGTCTTGTTAATTTTTGGTGAGGATCCTAAGGCTATACTGTTCTATAGAGAGCAGGAGTATACGTCTGCGCTATACCTTCATTAATGTATTGTTCAATTAAGATTGAGTTGTAAACAATTGCCTATTTGTTCAGACGTTAGGCGACCTGATTTTGTTTCATAGAAATTTCTGCAGAGTCAGACATGATTTACACCATTGAATATATAGGTGAGCTTAGAGCCACTGATTAGAGTGTAATTAATGACAAAATCACAAATATTTGAAACTTTTGTACAAAACGTTTATGATAGTATGTTACTTGTATTTAGTTGCCAGGGCTCTGGGTTATTGAGTTAGACACATGACAGAACCTTCGTGCTCTTTTGCATGCAATACCAAAGCACTTACCTGTAGGTTTTGATACTTGCAAAAAAGTGAACTGCGGTATGAAATCGGAACGTGAGTTCCTTTGGATATGTTGAACTTTTGAGCTCCACAATCTTCACTTATGCACCGATCCAAATAAGGTTCCGAGTGATGTGGCATAATGAACAATAAAATGCATGAAGTTACATACATGAGCAACCTCATTTTCCTGAGACCGATAATGTTTAGGAAATTGTTGAGCTAGAGATTCACACTTCTATAAAAGGGATTCTCTGCCACAATACGGTGAATTGGAACTGCGCAAAACCGACGTGGCAAAGATAAAAGTAAATAACATCAAACAGGGAACGAGGCACATGTGTGTTGTGTGTGGTGTTATATTTGTAGATCTCGGACTTTCGCTATTTTAAAGGTTCCGTAGACCGCCTGCCTTTCTTCTCCTAACAATGGGAAAAGAGAGGCAGGCGATCTACAAAACTTCAAAAACACTACCATTGATTACCTTGACATTTACGCTTGGAGCTATCGCATTTCGTAAACAGTTGGCGTGTCAGAAAAACAGATACATGCACTTAAATACACAGATGCAGATTCATAAATAAACAGTCGCATATTTCATATGGTTATACGGTGAAACTATAACGTTCGCCACCTCCAATGTCCTTTATTCGATGCAAAGAAATTTATTAGAGCCGGTATTGATAATTATAAGGCAGCCCTGACAAGAATGTTATTTAAATATCCCTGATGGAATTGGTCGATTTCACTATTATACAGTCATTGGTTTGTTTGGGATATAGAACAGCAAAAAGGAATTAATATGTTTGATTGAAAACACTTCATCGCTTTGGTTAAGACATTCTGCAAGTAGCCAATCAGTGTTTGATAAACTAAAGATTCTCTCACCATTTTTGGCGTGATGTCTGTTTTGGCCGACGTGGAAATATACACCCTTAAGCTATATAAAGCAGACTAAATATTTGGACCGTACGCTTCAATAAATGAATCACCCATTCGTTCATTTAATTTCCAATTTTTGAGGCCTTAATTTTGCAGCTCATGAGGAATTTCGTCCCTTTTGCGTCGTTATGCTGTTAAAAAAAACAAAAAACATTACAACCTTTTGTTGCGTGGCTTCGGCAGCGACCACACTTTTCTAGTTTTTCTTTTTTTTAACTATGGCATTTTGTACAGCCGTTATAAATCCTTGCAGTAAATAAAAAAGAAGTGAGAGGCGATTGGTTGAATAGACATGATAGAGTTACGCGTCCCGGTGCAACACCTCCAAAAAGGCCGTGGTGCCGAGTCTTCTACGTCATCTACCGGAGGCCAGCTCGGGGCACGGGTTTGAACACGAGTGTTGCATCCGCGTTCGGCTAAAACTCGTGCCCAATCGGTGCGGACACGAGTCCGAGGTCACCACTGACGCGACGCTTTGTGTCCAATCAGCGTTCTGGTAACGTTGAAGTTTCACCACAGCGGTCTTGTAACCTATGGGGCCTTGCCTGACGGCGTATTGTTTGAGGATCTTAATTCACGCAGCCAGCGTCCATTTTTTTTTCTTTATTCTTTGTGCAGTGACTTTTTCTATGCCGATCAGTGTTACTATCTTTAAGTCGCTATATATAATTATTTCGGGCCACGGCTGAATTTATAAACCAACTAATAAGCAGATGGCCATATTTTTTTTTTTCGTTCGAGAGGAACAATCTAGGAGTAAACAACGCCCAAATATTTTAATGTTTTCATTTGACGAGGACGTTGAGGATCACCCTGAACGAGGTTGGTCATCGAGAAATAATTAGCATGCCTTGAACCGAGAAAACCACCCGTAGACCTCCAATTTCTGAATAGCATCTTCTTTGTAAGCTGTTTGAAGCATTACACCAGTTTCGCCGCCTTTTTACTAAAAGAAAACAAAATTTCATGGCCGCACGCCTTCCTTCAAATTCGACATTGCAAAAAAAAAAAAAAAAAAAAAAGAGGAGGAATAAGTGTGAAGCGCTCAGGAAAAAAATTCACAACACGCCGCTATAACTTTAGCAGACAACGCCGCTTGGCAAACTCACTCCGAAGGGGCGTCGCTAAGCTCTGACAGCGTTGGAAGCTAGCAGTACGAAAGGCCCGCCCTCCAGAAATTGGTTCCGGTTAATTTTGAGTCTAACCTCGTATACTTTTTTTCTCCAGTCGTTTATTGTCTCATGTCTCATTACCAGTACGTAGATTTGATCTAGCAAATAGCTAGAAACATTATGTTCAGGGAAACGCAGATCCAGGGTCACCTCATAGATTGCGCCAGCCATCTCTGAGGCCAGTGTGTTCTGTAGACAGCCTAGATTGTAAAAAAGGGTTTTTGCGATTCAATTGCGGACGCCCCCCTCGGCGATTTATCTGCAAGTGCGCATGCGCTGTGCACTCGGGTGGCGAGGAGGAATGTGGATGCTAAGGCGGAAACGCTGACAGACGATCCACGCGAATACGGGCCACTCGCTAACGCCGAAACCTCCCATGGTGGGCTAGCGGCTTTGGCGGCCGACTCCTCGCTCTATGGCTATTTCCTCCTCTCTTGATACCTCCGCAGAGCGTGGGCGACGTGGGACGCGTGGATAATCGACGACCCGGAACTGGGTAAATCGGGGAACGTGGAGGGGAATGGCAACCAGAGGGCTCCTATTTGGGTGTACTGCATGTTTTGGCGGCTTTATGCTTCAATTCTTGCAGGCTGCATGCGTTGAATCCTGCAGCTTCCTGGTGGAAATGCACTTCCTAAAAATAAATCTGGTTGGGCGGAAGGCGGGGCACAGTAACGGTTTGCTGAAAGTCCCGGTTGTCACGCAGCCATCATCATTATTACACGCCTCCCATCTACACTAGTTACATCGCGGTCTACATATTACTTTTTGTTTCTTCTGAAATTTGTTTGCATTGCTTGTGTTTTGCCTGTCTCTTTTACTTGCAACACTGTACGCACCTGCTAAAATTCCAGCTAAGGATCGGAATATTAATTAATAAAACAAAATGATTAAGATCGCGAAAACGTCATTTACTTAAATGTAATTTCGAAAACGCCAAGTGCTCTTTCCTGCAGTTTATGTCATGCGGCAGGAAAAATGTCTTTGCATGGCAAGAGATAAAATATTAATGAAACACTTGTCAGGGAACCTAGGAGACTTCTTTTTTAGGTTAGATACATACGAAATTTGATAGCATGCAGTCCCTACTATATATCTCTCCGGAAACTTTGCGAAATACTTAATGGCGATTTCGTAAATTTGATAGACTAAAAACTGAACGAAGATCTCTATGGGAGTCAATGGAAGAAATCGAGATTTTCTATGGGAACCTACAAAAAAAGTGAAAGCCGTTTACAACTCCCTGTAACACCGAATTACAGCGCAGCTCTTGAGGAGGAGGAGGGAAGGGTACTGGGGGGGACAGGTGACCTTGGGGGGTCACGTGACGATGCCGATTATGCCACCAGTGACGTCACTGATGACGTCATCAGTGACGTCACTGATGACGTCATTAGCGATGATGACGATGCGGATGTCAGTGACGTCATCAGTGCATCCGTGATGATGACGATGCGGATGCGGATGCCGGTGACGTCATCAGTGACGTAACCGATGACGTCATCAGTGATGATGGCGATGACGATGCGGATGCCGGGGACGTCATTAGTGACGTCACTGATGACGCTATCAGTGATGATGATGATGATGACGATGCGGATGCCGGTGACGTCATCAGTGACGATGACGTAATCGGGGAGGTCACGTGACCCTGGGGGGTCACGTGACCTCGGGGGGGGGGGGTGTTACGTGACCTCGGAAGGGGGGTCACGTGACCTCGGCATGACCCTGGGGGTCACGTGACCTTGGGGTGACCTTGGTTACGCCGACACCGACGCCGACGGCGCTCAAGCCGGGAACGGGCCCCTAAGAGCCGCGCTCTAAAACAGTTATAGGGTAATTAAAATTTTCTTGGCTAATACTCTAACTTATCTTAATATACTTGGGATAACTTTCTGTTATTTGCTATTTACTGGGTTGATTTTATTATCATTTAGCTGTTTGCACACATCTTCCAAGAAATGCTACATGTGGTCGATGTCTCGAATCTTTGGGGATGCGCGATGCGAAGCCTTAAAGTCAGCGTAATTGGAAAGCGCGCGGCACGTTTGTAAAGGGCGGTCCAAACCAAGCCTCAAAAAGAGGCGGAACCGTTTTTTTTGGTATTTTTTTCCTTTTTTATATAACTTCCGTCTTCCGTTTTAGCCTAGAAGTGTGCGAGAGTGCATCAACGAGGACGGGCGGCGGACAAAAGCTCACCGAAGAAACGCTCACCACAGTGAAAATCTCATCGAAATTTTTATTTTTTCATTGCGTGCGTCATTCATTGTGCGTCAAAGTGGACATTTAACATAATTAAAGTTTGTCACTTAATTATAAAGAATTGTTCCCTTGTTTGTAATACTCTTGAAGTATATTGTGCATACTCCTAAGGAATTTGTAACCACCCATTTGTTATATTAATCACGCCACAAGTATAAAATCAGAACATGGGGCACCCGTAAAAAGAGGAACAATTTATTGGCAGCTTGACAGTGCGCCGTGGGTAGCTCTGTCAGATAAAGAGGTGTGTTCTTAATGCGAAATTATGAACTGTCCCATGCAGCGAAGCCGGCGGCGTCTGTAACCGCGAAAAACGGCACCTAAATTGTCATTTTCTCATTGGTTGAGCGAAGCGGCACCTAAAGTCCCATTGGCTGCCACGCGTCCGATAGTTCCAAGGAGCGCCACCCCAGAAAGAAGCCCTCTCCTGGCCCTGCAGCCCGCACGCCGGTCAAAGGGAGAGGGGGGCGTGCACACGGCCGCCGTCCTCTCCCAACACCTCCTAGACAGCTTTCAAGCCTCCGCGTCACGTGATATAACGTCACGTCCCACAGGCCTGCGCGGGCGCTGATTGAATTCGAGTGCCGCGTCAGCCTCCGCGTAAGACTATTATAAGGAACGGGGGTCACGTGACCTCAGGGAGTCACGTCACCTCAGGGGGTCATGTGACCTCAGAGGGGCCACGTGACCTCAGAGGGGGTCACGTGACCTCAGGGGGTCATATGACCTCAGAGGGGCCACGTGACCTCAGAGGGGGTCACGTGA